GCCCTGTACATGTCTTCTATGGGCCCTGTACATGTCTTCTATGGGCCCTGTACATGTCTTCTATGGGCCCTGTACATGTCTTCTATGGGCCCTGTACATGTCTTCTATGGGCCCTGTACATGTCTTCTATGGGCCCTGTACATGTCTTCTATGGGCCCTGTACATGTCCTCTATGGGCCCTGTACATGTCCTCTATGGGCCCTGTAAATGTCTTTTATGGGCCCTGTACATGTCTTTTATGGGCCCTCTACATGTCTTCTATGGGCCCTCTACATGTCTTTTATGGGCCCTCTACCTGTCTTCTATGGGCCCTCTACCTGTCTTCTATGGGCCCTCTACATGTCTTCTATGGGCCCTCTACATGTCTTCTAAGGGCCCCGTACATGTGTACTGACCTCCCCTAGAGGACTGCAGCAGCTCTGTACGCGTAGCTTACCCAGTAATGAAATATAAGAGGACAAGAGACAGAAAAAGACGGCCATTTCCCATCTTACCCCTTTTTAGTGGGCTGGATCATCACCTCCCCAATCATTTTGCTGATGTTGTACCGGAACTCCAGCAGCCCGCAATTCTCCAAGGTGAAAGATTGAAGCTTGCGCATTCCAACCACCATGGCGCCAAAGTTGATGTCGGAGGATGGCGCTAGACGGTATTTGGAATAGGCTGATGAGGCGGATATTCGGATGGGAATACTCGCGATTGTCTCCCCTCCCTCACTTAGATTTGGTTCAATAACCTGCAAAGAAAGAGAGGAGCAGATGAGTCTAACATCACCCTACTGAGTCCAACATCAACCTACTGAGTCCAACATCAACCTACTGAGTCCAACATAACCCTACTGAGTCCAACATAACCCTACTGAGTCCAACATAACCCTACTGAGTCCAACATCAACCTACTGAGTCCAACATCAACCTACTGAGCGAGTCCAACATCACCCTACTGAGTCCAACATCACCCTATTGAGTCCAACATAACCCTACTGAGTCCAACATCAACCTACTGAGTCCAACATCAACCTACTGAGTCCAACATCAACCTACTGAGTCCAACATCACCCTACTGAGCGAGTCCAACATCAACCTACTGAGTCCAACATCAACCTACTGAGTCCAACATCACCCTACTGAGTCCAACATCACCCTACTGAGTCCAACATCACCCTACTGAGTCCAACATCACCCTACTGAGTCCAACATCACCCTACTGAGCGAGTCCAACATCAACCTACTGAGTCCAACCTCACCCTACTGAGTCCAACATCAACCTACTGAGCGAGTCCAACATCAACCTACTGAGTCCAACATCAACCTACTGAGCGAGTCCAACATCAACCTACTGAGTCCAACATCACCCTACTGAGTCCAACATCAACCTACTGAGTCCAACATCAACCTACTGAGTCCAACATCAACCTACTGAGCGAGTCCAACATCACCCTACTGAGCGAGTCCAACATCAACCTACTGAGCGAGTCCAACATCAACCTACTGAGCGAGTCCAACATCAACCTACTGAGCGAGTCCAACATCAACCTACTGAGCGAGTCCAACATCAACCTACTGAGCGAGTCCAACATCAACCTACTGAGCGAGTCCAACATCAACCTACTGAGCGAGTCCAACATCAACCTACTGAGCGAGTCCAACATCAACCTACTGAGAGAGTCCAACATCAACCTACTGAGCGAGTCCAACATCAACCTACTGAGTGAGTCCAACATCAACCTACTGAGAGAGTCCAACATCAACCTACTGAGAGAGTCCAACATCACCCTACTGAGAGAGTCCAACATCACACTACTGAGAGAGTCCAACATCACACTACTGAGCGAGTCCAACATCAACCTACTGAGCGAGTCCACCATAAACCTACTGAGAGAGTCCAACATCACACTACTGAGCGAGTCCAACATCAACCTACTGAGCGAGTCCACCATAAACCTACTGAGAGAGTCCAACATCACACTACTGAGCGAGTCCAACATCACACTACTGAGCGAGTCCAACATCAATCTACTGAGAGATTCCAGACAGATGGAAAGAAGAGATATCAGAGACAGACGGAAAGGGGAGAAATCACAGACACACGGAGGGGGGAGATATCACGGACAGATGGAGGGGGGAGATATCACAGACAGACGGAGGGGGGAGATATCACGGACAGACGGAGGGGGGAGATATCACGGACAGACGGAGGGTGGAGATATCACGGACAGACGGAGGGTGGAGATATCACGGACAGACGGAGGGTGGAGATATCACGGACAGACGGAGGGTGGAGATATCACGGACAGACGGAGGGTGGAGATATCACGGACAGACGGGGGGGGGAGATATCACGGACACATGGACGGACAGACAAGGATTACACAGGAATAAGCGGTGATGATGATTTTGGATAGATGGAGGTTCCGGATTTGGACTATCGCTGACTCTGGATCCTCACCTGACATTTCAGGACGGGTTTATCTGTAATCTGCACTTCCTTCTTGGCCTGGAAGACGATCTGTACCTGGGTGGCCCGGTCACTGGGGCCGAGTGTCCCCTTCTGGGGCAGGATGGTGAATATGGAGTTGGGATCAGGCATTCCGGGACTGGAGGCTTCCAGGGAGAAGCTGTGGACAGGAAATGAAGTTACACTCGGACACATCGGCAAGAAGGAGGCGCGGCCGTCTGAGACACTCACCTGAAGCCAATCTCATATTTGCCTTTGTTCTTCAGTGACAGACTATGCTTTGCTTCATCCATCACCTTCACCACCCCGAAATCCAACCCACCGTCTGTGCCTGTCACAAGAACAACGTGTTCAATACAACTCGGAAGACACACAACAGCCCTGACCAAAGGAGCTTACAATCTAACAGCAGCACTGTATACAACGAGAAGGGGTGAAGATCATGGCAGCTGTGTACACGGAGTACAATGGGGAACGTACGGTTAGTAAACCAGAAATGATCAGCACAGAAAGAACACACGGGAGGCCATCCTGAAGAGGGGAGCTCGGAGGAGTGTGAAGTGCATCTAATGAGCACAGAGGAGAATCCCAGAGAGAATTCTGGCTGCTGTGCATGTGATGAGGTGGAAGGGCATCGGTAGGTCAATGGAGGAGCAGAGAGAGCACCCGGGGGGGATGGGTGCTGTGCATGTGATGAGGTGGAAGGGCATCGGTAGGTCAATGGAGGAGCAGAGAGAGCACCCGGGGGGGATGGGTGCTGTGCATGTGATGAGGTGGAAGGGCATCGGTAGGTCAATGGAGGAGCAGAGAGAGCACCCGGGGGGGATGGGTGCTGTGCATGTGATGAGGTGGAAGGGCATCGGTAGGTCAATGGAGGAGCAGAGAGAGCACCCGGGGGGGATGGGTGCTGTGCATGTGATGAGGTGGAAGGGCATCGGTAGGTCAATGGAGGAGCAGAGAGAGCACCCGGGGGGGATGGGTGCTGTGCATGTGATGAGGTGGAAGGGCATCGGTAGGTCAATGGAGGAGCAGAGAGAGCACCCGGGGGGGATGGGTGCTGTGCATGTGATGAGGTGGAAGGGCATCGGTAGGTCAATGGAGGAGCAGAGAGAGCACCCGGGGGGGATGGGTGCTGTGCATGTGATGAGGTGGAAGGGCATCGGTAGGTCAATGGAGGAGCAGAGAGAGCACCTGGGAGGGTGCTGTGCATGTGATGAGGTGGATGCAGGGCACATAGAAGAGTTTGAGGGCAGATGGAAGACGAAGGCAGATGGAAGAGGTTGAGGGCAGATGGAAGAGGTTGAGGGCAGATGGAAAAGGTTGAGGGCAGGTGGAAGAGGAAGGTGGCAGATGGGTGAGAATGAGGGCAGATGGGAGAGGATGAGGGCAGGTGGAAGAGGAGAAGGGCAGATAGGAGAGGAAGAGGGCAGATGGGAGAGGAAGAGGGCAGATGGGAGAGGAAGAGGGCAGATGGGAGAGGTTGAGGGCAGGTGGGAGGGGAAGAGGGCAGATGGAAAAGGATGAGGGC